TCACTGATATAGTGTTCGCTGTTCTCATTCGCTGCGTTTGCAGCTGGAAATGAGAACGCCAAGTAGGACTAATTTCCAGTTCATTTCATCGCCTCTGTGGTCTAGTGGTCAGAGTTCCTGGCTACAGATCCAGAGATCCAGGGTTCGATTCCCGGCGCTACTAGATTTTCTGAGAAGTAGTGGGTCTGGATCGGGGTCCACTTAACCTCATGAGGATAACTGAGGAGCTGTTTCAAGGAAATAGCGGTTCCGGTCTAGAAAACCGAAATTAAGGGCCGTAGAAATCCGTTGCGCTGACCACGCGACACCCTCTATCCGCAAAAGCTGGCACTAACTTCGCCGACAAGCGACGGTCGCTCGGTCGGTATAGTTCGTTTGCGGATTAGAGGCCATGGAATTTCTTCATTTGTTCTTCGTGTATTTGTAGCGTATTTAACAAGGCTGTCAGTGACCTAGGCTTTATAAATTCGAATGATTGGACTGTAGAAAATAATGAATTTTAAAGGCACAGAAAGAAGCGAGAATTGCCTTATTTTAAGACATTGCCCGTATTTTGCCTAGAGGCTCAGAGAAACGCCACGAAAACAGTCTGTATAGATATAGGCATGTCTATAAGTCGGATGCGAATCATTGCTATGATGGCAATATACCAGTTTCTTAACTACTTGTATTTTCGCAAAGCCTTCATGCCCGCGGTCGCTCTCCAGCCCCAGATAGTATATAATTGCCACCTCCGATATAGAGGGAATTACAGCCTTCAGAACTTGATGCAGTTTTGTATTCGCTAGAGCTCAACTCCCGTTTCTTCAAAAACCTTCGTATATCTCGTTTTAGTTCACGTGTGTGTTGCAGTATTTGTCTGACATTCTTTGTTTGCTTCTGAACAAAACAAGTGAGGTTACTTGATCCACTGTTGTTCCAGCGTCTCTCCCCATGTCACCCCACGGTGCAGTGCACGCCAAACCTAAACACCATCATAGTTTATGCAAATGTGACATTTATTAGCGCAATGGCCCGACTAAACACCGCGTCCAGATAACCATCGTCACCTGGGCTTAACCTTATGTGTAACATATCCAGCACGCAACTGCCTTTAACCGGAGTTTTGTCATCCGGAAAAATAGCGGTCTGCTATAACTCTGTCTGCAGTATGCTACACGCCATTACTGTTCATGGCCAGAGAAAGGTGTCCCGTTCGATCGTAGGTAGATTAACTGTTTTGGTTTTGCTTCTTGGCTACTAACGGCCCCTTTAGTATTGCCTGACTGAAAACCCTGGGTTCAATTAATTAAGCGCTAAGCCATGAAAATGTATAAGGGAGTGGAGTTCACCATTCTGAACCTCAGAGCCAGAGTGATGTGAGTGTTCAGCTTCACTTGCCTGTCGCTTTACCCCGGTACATATTGTATGGCCTCAAAAGGCACGATATACATACCAAGTTTCATGAAGACTGGGTGGGGCATTCGGGTAATGCCTCTACAGTTTTAGAGGCCGTTGTGTCGGTACTACTAGTGACAGGGATTTCTTAAATATGACGCTGAGATGCCGCTTAATAGTTAATGTGGTTGATTATATAGAGAGAAACACACAGACAGGAAGGTGATCTCATCGATCTAGTTTCATTTTTTCGAAATAAGGAAAGTAGGACATAAAAACGAGACACATTACAACAGATTGGAAATAAATTACCTGACAAAAAGAAATAAAAGCTTGTATATAGATAAGGTCCACAACATACATATGAATAATTTTTCAGTATGACATACGAGTTTATTTGACAACGTGAAAGGACATGAAGGCATATGCCTGTCTGTGTGCATTGTAATGTCTCTACTGTTGATTAGAGTTGTCAGCAGTAGAATTTATGACCATGCAGTGCAGTATCCCTAATTCAGAGTAGTCCTTTAAACAAGCCATTAAACAGCAAAACCAATAGATCTGAGGGGTGCAAGTCGAGAGTACACATTTGGAAAATTTGTGTATTTCAGATTGCAGAACAGTTTTCCACCATTTTGTTTTGTGACGTTCACATTGGTTTAACGTTTATGATTATGGTTGTAAGATTTGAGGCTTTCACGGCGGTGACTATGAAGAAAGCAGTCTTCTGGGATTTGGCACCGTGTATATGTGGTGTTAACCGACGTTTCGGAGGAACGTATCGCCCCCATCTTCAGGGTTGAAGAAGTATAGGTAAATCTGCAAACACGGTGCCAAATCCCAGAAGACTGCTTTCTTCATGATTATGGTTGTTTGTTTTCTGAAAATGTCTTTGCCGTTGTCGATGTATTTTTTATAAGTAAAATTCCTCAATTAGTTCAAACTGGGACTTTCCTCGTGGTAGCTACAGGCAAATGTACAGTACATGTCGTCAGAAATGAAACACCTACATGCTATGTAACAGTGGCTGTTTATTTCTAGTTCAAAGCCTTTCGAATATGTTTTATCCGTATGCCTGTCTGCATGGAAATTCCACTGTATTAGCGTCCTCCATTCTAAGTGTTGGTGTAGTTAAACCCTGTATGCTACAAGCTGGAAGGTTGCTGGTTAGATTTCCGATGAGGTCATTGAATTTTTCAATTGCTCTAGTCCTTCCAGCTGCACTGTGGCCCTGGGGTCGGCTCAGACTCTAACAGAAATGAGCACCAGAAATTTTCTTGTAGGGTAAAGGGCGACCGGCGCGTAAGCCTCACAACCTCATTGCTATCTATGAGCCGACTGCCAGAAAGTGTGGGAGCCTCGACGTCTCATAAACCTATGGGCCACCACGGCTTGTTACGGAGATAGCTTTACCTTCTTTTATGAAGTTTCCATTGCAACTTACTTATAGACCCTCCGCACTCAGCCATTGGTAGGTAAAACTAGAAAAATGCGGTGAAACCCAGACTTCACGTGTTTCAATTTATTCTTTTCAAACATTACTCTATTCTTCGCTGTAATATTTGTGCGTCAGAATTGTGTATTATTAAATAAGAGTAAAGATGAAGCAACAGGTTCGTGCATAATGTTGGTACCTATCCGGATTCGATCCCGGGTCTGGTCAAGTGGGATTTATGGTGGACAAAGTGGCGCTGGGGCAGGTTTTCTCCGAGTACTTCGGTTTCCCCTGGCAATCTTCATTCCACCAATTGCTTCACAATCACCCTCACCTATCATCTGGGGCTGGTACAATAGGCCAGGAGTGGCCGCAGTACAAGGGACTTAGTCCCACCCCACTAGCGATTAAAAAAAATGTACAAAACTATACGGCGTCACATTCCAGAAGACTGTGATCTTAATACGTATATTGGTACCACCATTTTTTTCAGTGATCGATTGACCTTTCAGGAACGAAATTGAGCAGGGAGAAAATGCTATTTCTGAGCGATTTTTTTTTTCAATTTTATATTGACAATAATTATTTCATGAAAGTGTTCCTTTAGATTCTTGATAACAATTTTATTGATATCTACTGAGTTTGAAGATTAAAAACGCGGGGAGTCGGTAACTCTCTGTCAGTTAAGTGATGATTTTGTGCAGACTACTTCATACAAAGAAAACATTTTTGGTTGAGCCTCATGCATATACATATTAGGAAGGTTATTTGAGAGACTGCGGCAAGTCGTCCGGCCGTTCAGGCGGAAGTTCCGCGCGCCGTCGCGTCAGATCGGTTAGCACACACTCGGCCTTGTCGACACACCAGTATCACACCAGTAAATACTCGTAGCTGTACAGATAGCTTGAACGAGCTTATGCGCTGGCCCATATATAAATCCTGAGTTTCATGATACTATTAACAATGCTACTTTATTTGACCAGGGCACGCGGAAGTGTAATTTGTTGAGACACTATACTAGAAGCCGGAAGATCGCGGGTTCGATTTCCGATAAGGTCATTGGATTTTTCAATTGATCTGATCCTTCCACGCTCACTATGGCCCTGGGATCGACTCAGCCTCTAACAAAAATGGGTACCAGGAATCTTCCTGGAAGCAAAGGGCGGCCGGCGCGTAAGGCTGAAAGCTTCATCGCCATCTGTGAGCCGATTGTTTAGAAAATGTGGGAGGCTCGACGTCACACAATCCTATGGGCCTCTACGATCTATTACAGGAATAATGTTACCTTCTTACTTTATTTGATCTGTGCGATAAGTAGTCATGGCTCAGTGGTATTGTCTCGTGATTGAGTGAATACAGACGAGTTTGGATTGATAATTTGATATATTGCACAATTATAAACACACAGCTTGTAACTACAAGTAACTGTAGCGCTAACTCTAATTCACACACTCTGCAGTTCCCTACAGCACGTATGAAATCTTCTCAGCCTACTGTATCTTCACCGTTTGTAGCCTGATAACGGTTTCCAACGTCGTAGCTTCCTCGGCTTCCGTGTTCAAGTGCTTACTGGCCGGCTACCCTCTTAGAACTAACTGAACTCTTAGAATTGTCTTGCCGTGGAGACCTACTGGGTTGTGAGACATCTAGGCTCCCACATTTTTATAGACAGTCGGCTCACAGATGGCGGTGAGGTTGTGATCCTTGCCCGCCGGCCTACCTTAACCACCAGGAAGATTCCTGGTACTGATTTGTGTTAGAGACTGAGGCGACCCCAGGGCAATATTGCTGCTGGAACACGCGAACTTCCGGCTTTTATACTATTTGTATAAAAAGAAAACTTTAAAAACAGGCTGGATCAACCTCCTATCGAATGGATACCGGGTGCTCTTTCCCCGTGGGTAAAGCAGCCGGGGCGTGAAGCTGACCACTCACCTCCAGTTTATGCAGAGGTCAAGAAAATCTGGACCTGCACATCCACACCCCCATACGCCTTCATGATATAGTGCTTAATTCGTTAAGCACAGAAACAACTTTACATTTTTTCATACCTACTAGTACAAACTATTGTCGGGAGTGTGGAAGCTCATTCAGTCTCAAATGACACGGCACATTGGTGGAGGAACACAGTGCTTAGTTTACGTAGTGCCGTTACTTGCAGTGTAAACCTGTCGTTTTTTTTTTGCAGGCCGGGGAGACTTTGTGGGAGGCATTGACAACGAGGCTTTAGACTTCAGTCAACTGGAGGACTTCATCAATGATGAAAATGATGCTAGCAATACGTAAGTAATTAGATTAGCCTATGTAACACTCGTATGTAAGCGAGAGATGAAATTTTGGATATGAAAACCTCATTCATATTGGAAAACATCATTAGGATATCGAAGTGTTCCCCGTCACCGCTCCCGGCGATTGGTCTAAACTTCAGTAATGACCGTTAGAACACTACAATAAAGATGTAGGGGTATAATTTGTTTCATGAGATAAAGATTAGAATCGAAGGAGTATCAAGCTAGGAAATTATAATTATTATTATTATCATCTATCTCACCTCGAGTCCGGGATGTTTTTCACTCTGTCAACTGTCGGTGATCTCCAATAATGCTGAATCTACCTTTCTTAACTTATTATCCAGACTACTCACCCCTGGACAATACATCTGCTCGGTAGCACTGCCACTACCCTTATTCAAAGCCACCCACTTTCATCCCCTTAGAGGTAAGCTTGGTAAGAATAAAAATTCGTGCAAAATGCAAGAAGTTCGCTGTACTGTTACTCGTTCTGCAGAGTCCTTTAATCTTTTAACAGTCAAGCCCTTTAGACGCAATTCGTATGAATGTTGGTTGCCGTTCAATTCTTGTTGCTGATAGCTCACAGATACCTACTGTGTTAATCAGGGATATTTCTATCTAGATATTCGCTATCGCATAAAAGCTCAGGGCCGGATTTGAGAAAAACAGAAAGAGAATCCGCAGATTTTATTGTCATGGGCGTTTCTCTAAAATCACGAATATTTATTATAAGAAATAACAACAGCAAAAGCATTGTCAGAACCTCTACATTTTGATTGCTCTTTGGCTCTCACAGCTCTAAATCCGGCCCTGCGAAATTAGTCCCTCAACCAGATTTGTTTTTGCGGTTAATTTAGTCCTCGGGAACGTTTATATTCCTAACACTAATTGTATTTCTTTAACTGACACTGTTAAAATATTTTAATGTTTTGTTACTTCAAGTGTAACATTTGAAAAGTGAACTTGTCTTATTGTCTGTAGTTATTGTTCTAATTTTACTCTTACGCTTTTCTCTTAGTGCGTTTTCGTAATTGGTTTCATTGATGCAGTTAAACCTTTCACTACATGAATTTAATTGATTTGTTAAAGCAAATCCTCCTCCTACGCGGGTTTGATTATTCTAGTCCTGCCAAACATGCTTTAGTAGCATACGAGAAGGCCGCGCCATAGCTCAAGCGCTTAGTCGCTGGCTTCCCACGGCGGCGGCCCGGGTTCGATCCCGGGTCTGGTCAAGTGGGATTTGTGATGGACAAAACGGCGCTGAGGCAGGTTTTCTCCGAGTACTTCGGTTTCCCCTGCCAATCTTCATTCCACCAATTGCGCCACAATCACCCTCACCTGTCATCTGGGGCTGGTACAATAGGCCAGAAGTGGCCGCAGTAGAAGGGACTTGGTCCCACCCCACTAGCAATAAAAAAGCATACGAGAAATACTACTTGCATTTTAAATTGCTAAGGACGGTTCAGCTTTTGCATGTGTATTTTTATCACATACTTGGTTCGTTTTATTCAGTGTATGCAGTATTGTAAATATTCAACTTATTTGCCATTCTCGCTAAGTTCGATGAGGGCGGATTCATTGAACGCACGGCATTCGAGGGACGTATTTCCCGCGTTTGAGGAGGGTTTACTGTGTCGTGTGCTTTATTCGGCACGGTCCTGAGTCAGTTCCGCCCGCATCACATTTCTCTGGGAACCATCTTGATATTATCCAACCAAAAACTGCCGTCCGTCCACGCGACCCCTTTTCAAGAAGTTTCTACGTCAAAATTATTGCTTACTTTGTTGCCTTTTCCAAGCGATGTACATATCCAGCTCCCCGTTATGTAAATCACCATGGTCGTTATGTAATTTCATGAATTGTCCAGTTACTTATTACCTCTTTTCTTCAACATTTTGTAATCGCTTTGTTTTTAGACATATTATTCATATTGTCACGCGTAGGGGGTGACTTATAAGACGCGTTTTGGATTGGATGTTTAGGTTTATTACACCTTATACATTCACACACTCGGGACGAGAGCTAATACAGCGCTATCGCTATTCTCCACACTTTACAGTTCACCGTTGCACACGCACTAGAATTCTGTCTTCACTTGTCGTATCCTGGCAACGGATTTATCACAGTCTCTCTGGCATTTAAAATCACACGTGAAGTCTTCTTGTCACAACCCAACTCATTTCTTGCCATTTTCTGCAGATGCCAGTTCCGAAGACTCGACTCGACTCGACTACTCTAGACTACTGTTTTGTACTCCGTCCCGCCTTCTGACTGTATCCTCTTATAGTTCCTCGGCACGGACCCCACGGAAATCACCGTCTATTAAGGATGCCTGTTTACAGCTTATTTGCATAGAAATAGACGCCCTATTGTTCCTCACGTTTACTTCTACGGGAATATGTTTACCGACCCGTTGCCGGGCAATGGGTATACACGTCACAGTGCATATACGCATACGTACGTACTTGCATATGCTACAGATAATGACGTACATACATATACATACAGTCAGTGGTAAAATTAATAAATTTGCTTGTATGATGTTGGCAGCTAGAATATGAATGGCCAGTTTTTACAGCAGAACGGAAATTTTCCCGAAAATACTATGTGCCTCCTGCGACGCTTGTTTATTCATTTATGGTTTATTTAACGACATTACCAGTAGTTCAGAGTATATAGCGGCGAATTGTAAGGTGGTTAGAGATTAAAAAACTTGAAAGAATATGCAAGGAAGCGGTCGTGACAAAATTTCTAAGTTGAGAGACAGTCCCGGCATTTTGCTGGAGGATACGAGGAAAATTAGTGCCATTTTTATTGTTCCTTGTGGGGTAAGACTGAGTCCACTTGGAACTGCGGCCACTAGTGGCCTATTGTACCAACCCCAGATGATAGGTGATGGTCATTGTGGAGCAGCCGGTGGAATGAAGATTGACAGGGGAAACCGAAGTACTCGGAGAAAAGCTGCCCCATTACCAATTTTTCCACCACAAATTTCACATGACTTTACCTGGGCTCGATCCCGGGCCATCGCCGTGGTAAACCAGCAAGTAGTCGACTGAGCTATGGCACGGCCAAAACGACGAGTAACTTCAGACAGAATAGGTTATTTTCGGGCTGAGATTTGAAGTCAGGACCGCACGAGTGCAAATCAGGAGTGCTGACCATTCGACCGTAGCGTTGCAAGTTTAACCGAAAATCGACCCCAGGAGACGGTCTGATGATAACTTGTCAAAGTCACGGGATAATATGTGCACCAGTGGGCAGTCGTTGTACAGAAAACTTTCCCACGCAAAATCGATAACTAATTTCAAGGGAAATGTTTTACGAAGGGCGGGGGCGAAGGAAATAGAATGAAAAAAAAAAAGCGTAAGGTGGTTTGGGTAGGATGGAAGGTGGATTGAACTCGGAAATGAACTACGCAACGCCTGGTAGCATGACCAGTGTAGATCCCAGCTATTATGTAATTNCCAAACTTCAATTTTCGCTGTTGAGCAGTTCTTGCGGTGCCACATTCTAGAGTGATATGCTGATCGCGGTACAAGTTCGCAAGAAATTTTCTTCATCGAATCTTATTTCCGCAACGAAAGTTCCGCAATTGCACATGTGTATGGCAGCATGGTCATTCACCGGGAATGCTTTACATTTGATGGCACATCTCTGATAAACATAATAACACCTAACTACCGACGAATCAAGAATAATTACAAATAGCAAGACCGAATGTAAACTGTATGAGACACAGAGTGGAAACACTTTTTTCATGGTAATTACCGTATTTACGCATGTATAGGCCGCACATTTTTTGCCAAAAAATTCAAGAGGAAAACTGGGGTGCGGCTTATACTCGTATTCGAAATATTCGAAATCACACTTCATTTAAAAAAAATTAAACGTTGCCAAATTTCGGAATAGTTTCTACTCCTGAAATAATATTCCAAGAAAATTATTTTTTTCTATAATTTCTGTCTGAAAATTTTGCTGCGGCCTATACACGCACGCGGCCTATACATGCGTAAATACGGTATTAGATAATATTCCATTTCATTTCTTATATACTTATAATATATTTTCACGTATTTAGGATGTGACTATAGACGGGGTTTGGATTTATTGCCCACTTGTATACACTACTCGGAACTACACTACAGATCACTCACACACACAGACTATTGTCCTCAGTCTATTACAGTCTTCACTATCCGTTTCCTGGCAACGACTTCTACCGAGGGAGATTCTTCAGCTTCCGGCATTCAGGTCCTTCTGTCACAGCCGGCCGTGAAGAACTCTTGTCAACTGACAACTCAGCTACCTGGGTCCCTGGTTTGTGGCCCTTTCACACCAACCTCCTACCTAGTCTTCTCTGCACACACTGCTTTTCAACTGAACTCTCTCGCTCACCAACCAGCTACTTCATGTCACTTAACTCGACTGCACTGCCGACAACTCCAACCCCAGAACAAAGTCAGAGTCAAGGCCGCGCCATAGCTCAAGCGGTTATTCGCTGGCTTCCCACCGCGGTGGCCCGGGTTCAAACCCGGGTCTGGTCAAGTGGGATTTCTGGGGGACAAAGTGGCGCTGGGGCAGGTTTTCTCCGAATACTTCGGTTTCCCCTGCCAATCTTCATTCCACCAAATTCTCCATCATAATCACCCGGTGCAGGTACAATAGGCCAATCAGTGGCCGCCATGCCGAGTGGACCCAATTGGACTCCACCCCCCTCCCTCATTATGCGAATTAAAAAAAGTCAGAGTCAAAGTTTCTTTGTGACTGGAGGTTTACCGCCAATCAGTTCCCTTTGGCGTCAAGGCCCTTCCGACACACGGTCATAGTTTTTTTTTCAACTGAACCCTTGTATTGCAGTACCTTATTTAGCATTCTCTCTAACGAGAAGGTGGCTTTTTTTGTTACGAATATGCTTGGCCTTTCGTGAAGTGTACTTATCTCACATATAGCACGTTACTGAGAATTCTTCCTTTTGCACTGTATATAAGCCCTATGTCTGTACAGGCTTTGCAAAGCAGATCATACCAATTTTACTAATCTTATGCTACAACTGCAGCTTAGTCACTTGAGCGGCTCCATTTCATGTATCTGGCAACTCGCACTCTGCTCTGACGTGTTATTTTAAGTCGCTTTGGAGTCGAATGAGGGTTGTGGTAGAAGCCATGAAAATTGGTGGCGATCTACCAGGTTTCCTGGGAGCCTCTTGTTCCGGTACTGTGGTCTCTGTGCCAGTAGTATCCGTCTGATGTCAAATTTTATTGAAATATGTTCAGAAGTTTTGGAGATGAAACATAGTGGGACATAAAATTGTAATTAATTATAATAAGATTGTTTATCTTATTTTTATTCGTACTTACAACTATGGAGTGTTCACTGAAGTACCTATCCATTCTTTCACAAACAGTTTTCAATTATTATGGTAATAAATTAATGAATTTACAATAGATTTGATTTTTCTTGAATCCGGGTTCAATTCCCGGCTCTACCAGATATTTTTTTCTGAGAAGTAGTGGGTCTGGAACGGGGTCCACTCAGCCTCGTGATGATAATTGGGGAGCTATTCCAAGGAAATAGTGGCTCCGGTCTAGAAAACCGAAATTAACGGCCGTGGGGATTCGTTGCGCTGACCACGTGACACCCTCTATCCGCAAAAGTTGGCACTAAATTTCACCGACAAGCGGCGGTCGCTCGGTCGGTGTAGTTCGCTTGCGGACTAAAATCACTGAGTTTGTAGGTAAAAAAGTCATACACAAATTTCATGAAAAGTGGCTACTTACAAGACCAGTAATCAAATCGAAGGATAACACCAGTACCAAATCAGTTCTGTTAATTCAGTCAACATCTTTAATTCTGGAGAAAGCATGTGGTACTAATTAGATAAAGAATGTGAATGAGAAAGGTTTTAATTTGGGGTCCTTGGTGTTGTCTAGGGTTGACTTCCAGAGGAGTAGAGTCTTTATATAGTGATATTTAATTGAAAGTGTGTTATAAACTTGGGGTATTGGTAGTGTGTATATGATGTTCCACTTTTTAAAAATATTTTCTTCGTCATTTTCTCTAAGTAGAAGCTCCCCACGCCGCTTACGGTAGCCGAGCGGTCTATGGCGTGTACTGTCTTCGCTCGCTTGGAAACCGTGATCGTGGGTTCGAATGCCGCTCTTGGCATGGATGTTTAGTTTGTGTGTGTGCGTTTTTCTGTGTTTGTGTACAGGCAGAGGCCTTGCGAATGTGTAAGATCTAGAAAAACCGAAGTGAACAGAGAAGTTCATGGAGTTAGGCCTAGGCCCACTGGGGCTATAGTGCCAAGGGGGGGGGAGCTCCCCACAATACCAGAATTCATATTCTTGACGGAATAGAGCAGCTAGATGAGCTATATAAACCTCATTGATCCTTGTATGTAATATTTTTCAGTTGACGTGTATAGCATGCAGATATTTTCTTGATAAGTCTGTTTAAGATGTTTGGAAGTCGCGTTCTTCCCTTAAAACCTCAGAGTAGGAGTTCATGCTTCACAACCATACAAAAAAAACTTAAATACTTCAAAGGACTGCAATAATTTTTACAAACAAGCACATTTATGTATTTGGGCTTCATATCTCTGAAAGAGTTAAACGACCCCCGTTGTTGCTGTTGCAGATATTTTGCTGACACCCTGGCACACAATGAGGCACCCCGTCCACCACAATCTGGTCACTCCACCACCAGTACACCAAATGTTGCACCACCACCCCCACCACCTGCTGCAGCTATAGTGAATGTTGTTGTGGAGCCAGGAGGGAGCTCCAGTCATCACATAGCTAGTGTTATCAATGCCAACAAGACGGTGCGGATGCCAGGAGGTGTGATTGGTACTTCAGCACCATTTAAGAATGGTGTTGCTGATGGCTCCACAAACTACACACATCCGTGAGTATCAGGGATTGTTTTCATATCAAGTGGCCATGCTACAAGGGTTACCACTCCTGCTTCACATATGTTGGTTCTCAGCCATCTAAATTCAGAATTCACAATTTTCCTGTGTTAATGTTTTGTATCAACGAATCAATGAATGGGGGAGAAGAGGAATGCCTATAGGATATTGGTGGGAAAGTCAGGGGGAAGGAGACCACTGGGAAGACCAAGGCGTAGGTGGGTGGACAATATTAAAATGGATCTTTGAGAGATAGAATGGGATGGTATGGATTGGATTGATCTGGCTCAGGATAGGGACCAGTGGAAGGCTCTTGTGAACACGGTAATGAACATTCGTGTTCCATAAAATGCTGGGAAATTCTTGAGTAGCTGCAGAATTGGCGGGTCCTCAAGAAGGGCTCAGCTCTATGAGTAATTATGTAAGTAATGCTCTGTCATACACATTGTGTCCAGGTTCTGTTAGGACTGTGTTCATTAAAAATACAAGACGTGAATTATTTCCAAAATTTCACTCTTTTTATTCAAAGTAGCCTCCTTCTGAATCAGTACATAGCTAGAATCGATTTAAAAGTTTTCAAAAACAGTCACTGTACTTCTTTTGTGGAATCGCGTTTAAAACTGCGGTACATTCCCTTTGGATGTCCTGGATGGTGTCATGACAGTCTCCTTTCATCGCCAACTTAACTTTTGGGAACAACCAGAAATCTTCTGGAACCAAATCTGGCGAATACGGAGGATGATCAAGGACTGTGATCCTTTTCTGGCAAGAAAAATCGCGCACAATCTTCGATTTGTGGGGTGGAGCATTGTCGTGGAGGAGCGACCAGGAACCTTGCTCTCGATATTCAGGTCGAATTCGAAGAATTCTCGCCCACAAACGATTGAGGACTCCGAGATAATCAGAATTCACTCTTTGACCTTCTGGCAGAAATTCATTGTGAATGATTCCTTTGGAATAAAAGAAAACGGTTAGGAGTGTCTTTACTCGACCCTTTTGCATGCGCACTTTCTTTGGTTTCAGCTTCTTTGGGCTCAACCACGCTGCACTCTGCACTCTACTGCTGTGTGAGAGGCTCATATTGAAAACACCATGTCTCCTCACCAGTAACAATCGATTTTGTAAAATTTGTATCACTTTGGGCCGACCGTAACATGTCTTTGCAGTGTTCGACTCTGGCATGTTTTCCATCGCCTGACAGCGCATGCGGTACAAACCGCCTACAGTCCTTCCGTATCCTCGGTCAAAATTTGAAATCTGGTATTCCCAAAAGCTCCTCGATGAGTCTTGCAGAAACACATCTGTCTGATGCAAGGATTTCGGTCCGGTCACTCTTTTAACATTTTCTTCAGTGCGACTTGTTCTCGGCTTTGATGCGCGTGGAGCGTCTTCAATGTCCTCCCTGCCGTCACGAAATACAGCATACCATCGAAAAATGTTCGAGTGACTCAAACAATCACTACCATACACACTTTTCATCATTTCGTACGCTTCTCCGGCTGA